CAACCACACACATGGATTAACATCGATTTAATACATTAATGTAGCCTTTGTTTCTGCTAAAAAAGGTGTCGACCAGCTGGGGCAACAAGAAAATCGGCGAAATCGAGTGTGACTATTAAAAAATAAATAATTATTATATTAATATTGACAATAACAACCGGCCGTCGGGGTAACATTTGCCGGGGAGCGTTCTCATGGCGTCTATTATCAATGCTATGGGAGGTCTATGAAGGTCTATGGGACGCCCTGCCCGTTGAAAACTGACTTCCAAGGGGTACCCTGTACGTAATAGAGTGACAGGGAGGGGCCCTGACCGTCCGTCAATATGTGACGGTTGGGAGTGAGAACGTGTTGCTATAATAAGAAGATGAATCCACGAGGATGTCAACAATCCTGTGGGAGCCATCAGGGAAGTAGTCTGATGAGAGTCAGGCAGGACCGCAGAGACAGGTTCAGCCACGACTCGAAGTCCAGGACTCAGATCAGGACTCAGGATAGAGGATCCAGGACACGGGACCACAGCAACAGGATCAGCCTCGACTCAGGATCCCGGCGTATATATGGACACAAAAATAGATTTGGGGAAGCTGGGTTAATCGGAACATGAGAGTCCACAGGTACAGACAGACAGAAGGAAGAAGTAAGTCTCTATCACCTACAACGTGTTGGAGCGCGAGAGACTTTAGGATGTTAGCCTCTTCAGACCGTTTACATGCACAGAAACCTAACACTACAGGAGAGGGCCTCTTTAAAGACTAATTGCAAAAAGAATACAATATTTAAATAAGAGATTCTATTTGGCCTCTCCTTTATTGACCCCAAAGTAAGAGTGTATTTAGTGAAAGCAGGATATTGATATTTTCCTCCTCTCTTCGTCAACATGTCTTGTGTTTTACTCCTGACTGATCTGGTGAAAGGAGCAGCTTTCTACTTCAGCGATCTAAGAATAATTCATGAGAAAGACGTAAAAAAACATCATGCAGTTTAAAAATATCCTTCAAACCCTTTAAATAGCCCGTCGGAGGAGGAGGCTCAGAAACAGGAATCCGAGGAGGCGTTTTCAAATGTCCTGACCTATAAAGATGAATCTTAAAGAGAGAACGGTTTCCCCTCCCTTGTCTCCCCCTCTTTTTGCCTCCCACAGAGGGGATATCAAACACTCCTTAATATTCAGAGGAGGTTCACACACTCATCCAGACCAGTCACATGACCTACTGGCAGTCTGGAGAAGAAAAACAAACAAATAATACATGACAGAAAAACGAACCAATCAGCTGAGCACAATCCCATGAAGACTGACAAATATTTAACAAACAATAAGAAAGATATAAATCAAAAAGTATTTAAATATTTTTTATTAAATGTGATTTAAAAAAAAAAGTCTAAATTCTGCAAAAAGAATCTAAAAATCAGAATGAGTTTTTTGTGTTGCCAAATAGCTCCCCCTTGTGGCCATTTCGAGGAAATGCACTTAACCATTGAAGCTGTGTGTGTGTGTGTGTGTGTGTGTGTGTGTGTGTGTGTGTGTGTGTGTGTGTGTGTGTGTGTGTGTGTGTGTGTGTGTGTGTGAAAGCAGTGGGTTTATCTGATTATTTTGAGGGTATTTTTGACAGATATAATAACAAGGTTTAAATGTACAGTGAGTCAGTTCCAGCTCCAGTCAGCTGACAACAATCCATTGAAAAATATTTTAAAAACAATAAGCAAAATATTAATCAAAAAACATTTTAATAATTTGTATTAAATGTGATTTAAAAGCTCTAGATTTTGCCAAAACAAATTATTGGAAAAATTGAAAGCAGCAGGTATTTATGAGTATTTTTGACAGATATAATAACTGGTTCAACTGGTTTGGATGTGCAGTGAGAACGTCTCCAGTTCAATGAGTCCTCCACATGAGCGCTGAGCGTGCACGGAGCTGAAGAGAGAGTGCACGTGAATCTTTCGCTTGCGTGAGCTTTCACATCTTTCATGCAGAAAGGCTATTTCTGTGTCCCTGGGTGTGGACTCACAGGCATGATGTCATTTCAGATTTAATAATAGATGGATAGATTTAATACAACGTCAACATTATCACGTATATAGTATATATATATATATATACCTATATAGTATTTCCTGTATGATTGAATTGTATTATATGTATTGTATCTGGGTGTTTTGTATAGAAAGAAATGCCTGTAATACCAGCATCTACTAGATTTTCATTCAATTAAAAGTGGCTTTGAAAACATTTTTTTTCCCAAAAAAGTCAGAGAATGAGTTTTTCTCCTCAGAAGCGTCACAGCCTGACACGTTTTATACGTTTTATATAAGAGGGTGTTACTGTGTCCTAATGCTGCCATTTCTCCTCTTCCTCGTCCTCCACTCCTCCTCCTCTTCCTCCTCCTCTTCCTCAGTGTTCCTGCGGAGCCACAAGAGTCTTGAATCTGTCGACCCTCAGTTCACGATGAGGAGGAAGATGGATCAGCTGAGAGAAGAGCTGGAGCTCACAGAGCATCTGAGAGACGTGAGAAACTTTAACCATTCAGTAGTTAGTGATGGATTACACGGAGAACAAAGTGAGATCTGAACAAGTCAAAATTCTGTAAAAAAAAAAAAACGGGTACATTTTGAGGAAAAATGAAAAAAGCAAATCAGATTTTTGACAAAAAAATCAGAATCTAAAGAAACGTCTGAAATCTTTAAAAAATCAATCTGAAGAAAAATTGAATTTTTGAGAAACATTTTTTATTTCTAAGATAAATCTTAAAAAAAAACTAAATTTCAGAGAAAAGTTTAAAAATCAGATTTTTGAGATAAAAGTGTAATATAAAACCTAATGTCTGTATTTCCTCTTTAGAGCATAGAGAGCCGTCTGAAGGTGGATCTCCCTGAAGATCTGGGCTCCTCTCTGATGGACGGAGTGGTGCTCTGTCATCTGGCCAATCAGATCCGCCCGCGCTCTGTGGGCAGCATCCACGTGCCCTCCCCTGCTGTGGTGAGAGATCAATACTTTATATATCATTTATAAAACGGACAAGTCAAATCAAGCAATCTGATTGGTTCTTAGCCGTGATATACTGAGCGTATACCACGGGTAGAATTGTAAGTTACTTTTCACAACAAGTCAGTATCCCTCCGCGTCTGAAAAAACAGTATACCGTTGGGCTGAAAAGTAAACTGCCTGCAGTTTGCTTTTCATACTGGAACAAGAAAGCAGCGGAGAAGTAACGGGCAGAAGCCCTCCTTTTTACGCAGCGGTCCAGACATAGACATCAAACGGCAAAACATATTCAGTGTGCAGTTCCTTTGGCATTAGGGCAGGGATATCTAGATACTTTCGAAGGTTTGACATAATGAATTGTGCTACTTTTAAAGCAAGCAACGATGTTTTCAAATCTGTAATCAAAGAGGTCCGCAAAAACAAATTAGTTTCAAGAGCAATGGGACGTTGTGTCCTCCGCAGCGTCACGTGAAGCGAAGTCCGTTTGTGATGACGCCGCAGCTGATCGTCTGACAGCAGCCAGATCAGTGCATGCGCTGCATCGTCCAATCAGTGAGCGATACACAGTAAGGGGGCGGGGCGAGTGTCTGAGGATTTCACCGGAGGATGGTCTCCTGGTTCCTCGATCCTCCGAAGACCACTGGGACGGAACTGAAGATGCTCAAAAGTAGGCAAGTTAATAAACAAGAGAGGCGATGTTACGATACCAATTTTAAGATAATGGTGATCAACGAAGCAGAGTCGTCGAGCAGCAAAGAAATATGGAGTTACTGAGAGTAACGTTAGAAG